GTGGCTCCAGCGGTTGAAGTCATAATAGTGCTTGGTACTGTGCTAGTCGTATCTGTAGATGAGAAATGGGAAAGTTATACACGCGTGCGTGCTCACTCACGCATGGGAGAGATGCACGTGTGCACAGATGTACACACACACTCGCATGCGGCGATTTGTATGTGCACTCGCGCGGATTTGCATAGTATGAGGTAAATCAAACCTAGTTACGATAGTAAGAGAGTCTATCGTAGATATGGTGGCGAGTTTAGAACCACCAATAATTATTACCTAAACAACTACTCCTCTGGGGAAGGATCATTGGTCAGCCATTCCAGTATAAAGACCAACTCAAGTACATGATGTCAACATGTGTGTATGTATATGTATATATATATATATACATATATATATATATATATATATATATATATATATATATATATATATATATATATGCATATATACATACATATATAACAATCCTCCCTGACCTGGCCTCGAACCTAGGTCACTCCGGGTATGAGACACACACAGATATATATATATATATTCATTTATATATACATTATTTATATATTGATATATAGATAGACACATATAAAGTAAATATATATATATATATATATATATATATATATATATATATATATATATATATATATATACACACACACATATATTTGTATACATATACATACATGTATTTGTATACATATATACATGTATTTGTATACATATATATACATATATTTGTATACATATATATACACATATTTGTATACATTTATATACATATATACATATATTTGTATATATATACACATATACATACATATAAATTTATTTGTATATATATATATAGATAGATAGACAGATAGATAAATGAGCGAGCAAGCCAGAGCGAGGCCAAATCGCGACCGCCCGAGGCGAGTCTTACCGCAGGACAGGCCCGAGGGCTGGGTGTCGCAGGTCCCCGCACAGGTCACAGCAGTTCCGTTTTCGCACCTGCAGGAGAGAGGCTCCGTTGGGGTTAAAAAGGCACATTTTGATTTCGTTGAAATGATCTTATGAATAATTCATGCATAGATACATGCATGCATGCATACATACACACACATGTATACATTTGTGTGTGTGTAGAGCATGGATTAATAGGTGATGGTCTACTGTCGACCAGTCAGGACTCAGCATTGGGTCGGAAGATGTGTCTGCTGACGACGAATATATGGTGTGGCATGACACACCCTGTTATCGTGTTTGTGTGCAGGTCAATCACCAGGGCTGCTACTCCCTAGTGAGCAATTGGTCCGTGTGAGTGATTCATTTCATTCGTGTCAGTTTAGGAGCGCTCGTGTATATCCCAACTTTTATATAGTGTGCCGTTAACATTATTAGGAGTGGGTTGTGAGGTCCCACTCTGATAGCTGGATGCTGTGCTACAGTGGCATAAGTCGTGAGGGTGAGCTGGAAAGCATCCCAGACAACAAGGATTCAGAGGTAGAACTGACTTGTCTGCTGTTCTGTGTCATGTCCAAAATCTCCAGAACCCAAGCATTAAGCTGGCTGGGTATGTACCAGAAAATGTGGACTGGGGAAGCATGCATTTGAGGTCCAATAGACGAGCTGCGAGATATCATTACTCGGCAGTCACAAGATATAACTGCTGTGGACTAGAATGTTGCTACAGGACATAGCATAGCTGTTTGAATGTTTGTCTCTCCCCCTCTCTCCTTCTCTCACTTACATGCACATAAGTTATATCCTTATTTAACCCAGTTAACTTTGAGAAATTAAAAAGTTATGCAATACTTATATAGACCTTTTACAGCTAAGTAACAAATAAAAGCTTTAATTCATAAAAAATCGATATAATATTTTTTGCCAAAACTGGTAACATTTCTGTTATTTATGTCACCGAAGACACATCTTTAGACTTACCAGTTATCCCCAGTATTGTATTCAATTTCACCAAAGGCGCACTTTCCGCTTATAGAACCTGTGGAAACATTTGTTTAGTTAAAACTTTTACTTAAAGGAATAAGAAATGTCAATTTCTGTCTTTTACTATTTTTTTCTTCCTAAGTCTCTTTGCTCATATCTTTCTGTTTTTTTTCTATTGATATTTCGCCCATTGTTGCCGGACGCATGTAATGTCCTCTGTAGATTTGGTTTGTGAAATGTATTTACACACATTTAGTGCTTTTGGAAATTCTTTTTCTAATGCTGTTGATATCGATACTGTTATAATTATTACTGAGATTATGATTGTTATAGTGTTAGTAACAATACTGACGATATTTTCGAAATCAAGGAAAACCCTAAACAGTTAAGTTTTGTAACTGACTCATTGGTGACTAATTTCTTTTGGTGCCATGTATGTATAAATAATAAAATTAGTCTCACAGTGGGCATCTCCGACAGCAGTGGGTTAATACCGATTTACAAAACTAGCTGTTGCTGTTATTATATACTTATATATACATTTGCCCCATCACTGATTGTTCATTGCATTCTACTAACAAAACAATCTCGAATTAATTGTGCATTCTTTCAGTGCAAAGAAGTGAATTTTATACAAGATATGGATGGACTTTCCTCCCTCTATCCCACTCAGCCTGGCACCCAACAACAATACTCTTTGCTGGTGGCAGTGGTGGGATACAGGAACACCTCAAGTCTCGACTACTCTCCTTTCATCTGTTTCTTTCTCACTCTCTTTCCCTCACCCTTCCTCTCTCCCCATCTGGATTTACATACATCCTACAGGATTTCATACACAGTATATGGTCCATTGATTTATTTTATTTATAAATATGATTAAAGACTAAACATACCTTCATTTACGCCAGTTGTAGATGCTCCATTTTCTCGCAGGTAACAAGCAATATTCGCAAAATTGTTTGACACTGCGAAACTATAAGCTGTTTGACCTGTTGGCAGATGTTCGGTTGATATGAAAGAAAACGAAAAAAATTAATAAGAGATTGTACTTTTTCGGTTATTACTGGTGGTGGTAATGGTAGCAGGTACAATATCAGAAAATATATTGGCAAAACTGGCATCAGTTGAAATAAGAAGCAGCAGTAACAGTGACATAAATAAATATATAACACATATATAACACATATATCAATTCTTAAATGTATGAGTGTTCACAGAACATTAGTTTATGTTAAACAAGAATAAAAATGTATTAATTAAAGAGAGAAAGAAGATAAACATGCATTTTTCACACTATGACTTTCAATTAACTTCAGGAAGAGTGCCTTCAAACTAATGATACCCTACTGAGCCTTATAGTGACTGTTAAGGCGATCTCCTCTGTGAATCTGTGACTTCAGGAGACCATAACCATCGATACCAGCACCACACTATTAGAAAGGCTGCACTCAGCTTTTCTTTACTCATTTAGTATTTGTACACGCATAAGTCTTATCAGAGATTATTTATTATTACTAATTACTATTATTTGCATGACTATAATATATATCACCTGATAATGAAATCACTAGAGGCTCCAAGCATTTTGCTCAGTGTGGTAGGTAACCCTACTCCTAGGGAGTAATTCCCAGGAAGCAATTTCCTTCCATTTGATAACACTTGTTCACGGAAACCGTGCTATAGTTTCCGACTGAAAATGGTCAATGACAGATGATCCAAACATCTGCTCAGAAACAATATCATTTGTCTCTCAATTTGCGTCTGAACTGTGCAAGACCGTCCACTGAATCCAGTTGCACGTTGAAGTGTTAATTATGCGAGTTCTTATTTCCAGTTGTTTGTCCTACGAGTTATTTATTTCTCCTTTCACTGGAGTACCTTGGGTCTCCCTTTGTTCTCTACATCACACATCCATTAGTCCAGAAATAAATGTATTTGTTTTCCATCTGGCATCGTTTACATCTGTACTTCTGTGTTTGTGAAGATGTATGTTTACAACACTTGTCCTGCCCAGTTTTTGTGAGAATAACTGGGCATTTTGGACGAGCTAAGACGGTAGACGGTAGTCTCTCACTTTTTGTTAAAAGTCAGACAACAAACTGACCTCAAACGCACTCTCTGGTGTGATGTGTGATTGGAAAGCCAAAACGTCTTGTAACTCATTATCTAGCTAGACTTTAAGATATTGCAAAAGGCTAATCACCATACTATTGACATGATATAGTGAATGTCATTCATGAGCACTTTTACACGTTTCGACAGTGGCAACACGCCGCGGTCCTCGCTGCGCCCATTTTGATATGGTTTTGTGCTATGGCGTCCATGACGTGAACTTTACGGGTCTCAGTGGCGAGTTTCAGATCCAGTTTATTTGAGATTAGCGGTTAAAACTAAGAAACATGCGGAAACGAGCATGCAGGATCTAATTAACTAACACAGAGAGGCTAACAAACAGCCTAAGTAGCACACTAACAGACACGTAGCGCTTACCGCCAGCCTCCAGCTCCAGATCAGCACCTCTTTCCATCAAGAGCTCGGCAATGTCGTAGAAGCCATTTATGGCAGCCAGCATGAGTGGAGTTCGGCCTGGAAAGAAACTCGTTCTTATCAATTCGCTTGAGAGAGAGAGAAAAGGGGGGGAAGTCAAGGAAGAGAGAGAGAGAACAAGAAGGAAGGAATCAAGGGAGAGAGAAAGGACGAGAAAAGGGGGAGCAGTTAAGGGAGAGAGAAAGAATGAGAAAGAGGGAAGGAATGAAGGGAGAGAGAAGGGGGAGGAGTTAAGGGAGAGAGAAAGAATGAGAAAGAGGGAAGGAATGAAGGGAGAGAGATTGAATGAAAAAATAGGGACGAGTCAAGGGAGAAAGACCGAAAGAAAGACTCAAGGGAGAGATAAAGAACAAGGGGGAGGAGTCAAAGAACAGAGGAAGAACGAGTAAGAAGAAGGGAGACCAGTGAGAGAAAAAGAGTTGAGAATGGAGAGGAGACAAAGGAGAGAGAAAGAACAAGTAAGGGAAGGAATCAAGGAAGAGAGAAAGTGCGAAAAGGGTGAGGAGTCAAGACGAAGAGAAAGTGCGAGAAATCTGGGTTTTTCTGATTATTTTTTAGTAATTATTTAGATCCACTTTATATGCACTTTTATTATTAGAAAATGACAAAGAAATTATAGTATTTGTTGTAGAGCAGAAAGTAGATCACTGAATTTCAAAGATAGATATACGCATGGTATTTTAAAATGGCTCCAGCTTGTCCGGTCTCTCAAACGAAACTGTAAAGTGTAATAATAATGATAATGGTAATGAGGAGGATGATGACAATAAAATTATTGATAGTAATAATAATGACAGTATTGATAAAAATAATTACAATAACAGTTATGATAAAAATGATAAAATGCCGACAATAATGATGATAATAAGTATGCTATTTTTCCTGTGATGAATGATGCTGCACTAAAGGTGGTTTGAAACCTCGAAGTTGTGACTGGATGCCTGTTGGTGGTCTTCCTGTACTTTAGTTGTTACTCACCATTGGCTCTCGGCAGGTCGATGTTGGCGCCTCCATCGAGCAGGAACTCAACCATAGCGTACTGGTCGTTCTCCACCGCTTCTGTCAGCGCAGTCTTGCCTTTTGTAAAATAACAAGGGTGAGAGTAAATATAGATATCTGAAATCTAGTTCTATCATTTCCATCAATCATGTAATAAGTCTAAGCAGGAACCACTTCCTCCTTGACTCCATCTTGACTCGAGCACACACACACATATATATACACTATATATACATATATATACATGCACACAAACGTATATGAGCATATCACACGTACCGACCGGTATACTTTCTACCACACACACACACACACCCACACACACGCACACACACACACACACACACACACACACACACACACACACACACACACACACACACACATATATATACAAGCATACGACCAGAATCACACGTACCGACCGGTATACTTTCTACCATACACACACACACACACACACACACACACACACACACACACACACACACACACACACACACACACACACACACATATATATACAAGCATACGACCAGAATCACACGTACCGACCGTTATACTTTAGCACCATACTTATCTACCACACGCCCGTACGCACGCACGCATGCATACACGCTACACTTCCTCCAAACAGATGACGTACCCATACAACAGTTGAAAAGGACTAGACAGAAGACAGTATTTACCCTGAGATAAATCATCGATGCTGACTCCGTTGTCCAAAAAGGTCTGCACTTCAGCTATGTTTCCTGCAGCAGCCGACTCCTGGATGGCTGGGGGGGAAAGGCATTGCGGGAAATATAAAGGAAGATGATCTCTGATCTAAGTGAAATAATTACAATATATAGCTTATATTCGTATACACACAGACAATACTTACTGGCCGTAGTCCTGTGCCAAAGCAGACACAGCAAGATCAGTTGCACATGCAATGACGTCATCCTGGAAGCTCTGAGAATAAAGGGATGAAATGACTAAAAAAGAAATAACAAGAAGTGAGATAACATGAAAAGGATGAAGAGTAATTTTGTATTCGGGTATATGTATGGCCATAAAGTTTGAGGCACTTCAATATGTTTAGTGCCAGCATTCATAAACAATAATAATAATAATAAAAAAAATATGGGTCCCATACTGCTGTGCAATACCCATGTGGTGGATGCACAAGTGTGTTGCAAGCTATGTGACGTGTGTACAGCCGTGTTCTATTTGCTTTAGGTCTTTTTTTTTTGTAACATATCCAAAACCCCTACACTTTGATACACTCTGGTACATGTTTGCCCTTTATGCATACATTATTGGAACTTGTTGAAACATCTTTTCATTTTGTATCAAATGGTATGCCTTCACCTTGATACAGTTTTATACACTCCGGCCAGCCAATCAGAGCACGATACATATATATTTTTTTTTATATTTCATGTCGTCTCAAATAGGGAACAAGAACAAGATAGGTCCTCGCCTCCGTTTCTGTGTTGCCAGTC